TCCTGCCTAGCAAGCATGAGGCCCTGAGTTCCAATGCCAGCACCATTAAAAAAACAGGTTGCGAATAAAAATCAACAAATGTGAAAGCCCAGGAAAATATATCTGTATTTCTGGTTTTGCTGGATTTTTACATTAAAAAAAAATAATGTTTAGAAGTATTGTCTGATTACTACCAGAAGCTCACCAGTAAGCTGACATTTTTTGTGACTTTCCCAGTATAAAGGAACACTTTCTTCTATTTTAACCAAATCGTGCATAATTTAAATATTACCATAAGAAGTATTTTGAAAGTTATTTCTAGTTACTAATTTTAGCACAAATATTTTCATTTACTCAATTGCTTACAAAACATTGGTTCATACAAAGAATAAAATATTCTGCACATAACAAAGTCTACTATGTACATACAGTATAACTGCATTATACATAAACTCTAGTATTTAACATACATTTAATAATTTGTAAAATATTTGCCCTGTTTTGTCCAAGATTTATCATAGAATAGGAGCAATTTGAAAACATGCTTCATTAACTTTTTATTTTTATTTATTTATTTATTCAGTGGTACTGAGGTATGAACTCAGGGCTTTGTGCTTGCTGCACAGGTGCTCTACCACTTGAGGCACACCTCCAGCCCTTCATTAACTTTTAGTAGTAGTTTTGTAGGTTTTATTGAAGTGTTGAAATGTTGCTTGACCTCCTTCCCTTTGTCTTTAAATTGTTAGGTCCTGGAAATTTATCCAGGGACTCTGACATGCCATTTTTATCCTATGCTGTAAACTCATACTAAGTTTTCTATTTTAACATATTATAGGAACCTTAGACGTCACCATTATTTTTAACCTCAAATCACTGCTGGAGTGGAACTTAAATCATTGTCCACCTTAACAGCTGTCGCTAGCTTCTTCCCTGCTGCGTCCTTGCCCATTGCTCTGATATTTTACCTCCACACCCAAGCTCATAGTTTGGAATAGTTTAGGTAAGAACACACCCAAGTTCAGATCTATTATTGGCCATTTGGTCAATACGAGGAAGTCTGTAGTGAAGAAAGAAGGCAGACTTTCTCTGCCCACTAATATTCCCCCACCCTACTGTTACTATATTAGGAAACTCCTCCCCCCAACTCCACATCCTCCTGATGGAGCTGCCAATCTCACTGTCACAGGGGCAACCATGAGACCCAGGCCTGGCCGATGGTCCCCACCCCCAGCTTCAGTGATAGTTCAGAGTGGAGACGATATCAAATGGAAAAATTCATCTCTATGATGAATATACAAACCGTGGGGAAGAGATATTTGTTTTCCTGCAGTTATTTAGGTGGGGAGATTAAGAGCTGTTGGGGTGCCTTAGCCTACCATTTGGGGAGAATCTGCCTGAAGCTGAGTGTGGGAGACAAAGTCTCTTTGAGCCCTTGCCACTAGCTATTCTGAAGCCATAACACCCTAAACTCTCTGTTTTCATAAATCAACAAATCCCTTTTACCTTAAGCTAGTTGTGCTTATAATCCAAAAAAAAAAAAAAAAAAAGCACAGACTTGAGCCCAGCTTGAAAAGAAGAGAAATGGGAGGCTGTGGAGGAACATGAAAACTTCTCTCATCCCGGCAGGGCGCATAGATGAGTGGTACAGTGCTTGCCTGCCATTTGAGAAGCCCAGGGTTTGATCCCAGTACCAAAAACAAAAACCAAAACACCCAACAAAACCCTAATCTGAAATTCTTTTTGATTACTGAGGAGATTTGCCACTGATCTCAAAACAGTATTATCAGCCAAGCATGTTGGTGCGCACTTGCAATGCCAGCCTGCAGGAGGCTGAGGCAGGAGAATTGTCAGTTCAAGGCCAGCCTGGGCCACATAAGGGAGACCCTGTCTCCAAACACATAAACAAACAAAAACCCCAAAAAAGTTTCCCCAGCTAAAATTCCACATTTATTCTAAATAGATTATTTTCGATTACTTAGCTGTTTATTTCTACTCTTTCTGCAGAGAATTAAAATGTATAGATCTTGCTATTATCCCCTTTCTATATTCTCCACACATATTTACACAACTGAGTCAGCACTGAAAATTACTTTGCTTCTGCCCTCCTGAACCGTTGTTTGAAAAAGACATACTATTGCTTATAATCTAAGAAACTTGGAAGTGAGTTAAAACAATTGTCCTCAAACTGGGCTCCATATCAGAATTAGCTGGGAAAGTTTTGTTTGCCTAACATTAAATCCTGGCCTAGTTCCAGCTCTTACTGGAAAGAGATTAAGTCAAATTGGTCAAACACTCAGCAACACTCTACTGAACAAAGCCATATTTTTCCTAAGGAGACAGATATAAAAAACAGTGCCTCTTCCCTGTCCCTTTTCAGCTTTCTGAATAAACACTTGGACCATGTTAAAATTTGAACTACAGATATAATTTCAGAAGTACCAAAATGATATGTAATGAGAAATTTTATACTTGAATTTCAGGGCTAGAAATTTTGTTGAATTAATCATTTGTTTAACAAACATTTCATGAGCTCTTGATTTGTAGAAGGCAATATATAAACAACAGAATAAAGAAATAAAAGGACAGATTTACTTATATCTTAAAGTAAATTGCCATAACTTAAGTCAAATTTCCAGACTTGTTCATTTTTATTCCTATTCAGTTATATATATTCATACTCAATTCTTTTCTCATATATATATATATATATATATATATTTTTTTTTTTTGGTGATACTTGGGTTTGAACTCAGGGCCTCGTGCTTGCTAAGCAAATGCTCTACCAATTAGGCCACTCCACCCCACACTCAATTTTTCTCATATATGACAGAAGGTGGTGCTCTTCAAAAATTGTTTTCTGATATAGAAACTGCATTCATAATTAGGAATCATAATTGAAGAACTCAATTGCTTTCCTTGGGAAAGACACTCAAGCAGAATTAAATTCTAGTTTAAATCCACAAGTGAAAAAAAAAAAAAACCCTACAAAAATAATAAGATGTGCCTGGGCGCTGGTGGCTCATGCCTGTAATCCTAGCAGGCATGGATTAGAACCTTGGTTTGAAGCCAGCCTGGGCAAATAGTTCCTCAGCTCCCTATCTTGAAAAACCCTTCACAAAAATAGGGCTGGTGGAGTGGCTCAAGGTGAAGCCCTGAGTTCAAGCCCCAGTACCAAAAAAAAAAAAAAAGCTTACACCATATCCTACGGTACTTGTTGGGTTTTAAATCCCACAGGCATAAAAAATGTTTCCAATGCAACAATCTCTCATCATACTCCAGACTCTTGTTCAAGCATCTGCAAGATCTAGTCCCATGGATGCTCCGTCAGGCTCTGCAGGTACACTCTGCAGGTACTTTGGAAGTGTACTTCTTTGCCTCCATTACTAGGCCCCGGGTGTCGCAAGTGGGTTTTGCTGTGACTTAAATCTATGTATAGACCTTGCACTTAGAAGAGGTAGGGAAGATGCTGAGGCAGGTCCCTGATGGATCTTCTCACAGGGGAGGGTATTTTTCTTTGGAGGGAAAAGTATTCTAATATACTTGCTAGGGAGGAATGAGTCACCACAAGCGCTAAGATTTCAGAGGAGTCAAGGGACCCAAAAGCTTTGGAGTCGTACTCTCAGGACTCTAACCCATGTGTCAGCGTCTCAAGCTTTCCCACCTGGGCACCAGTGTTTACACCTGCAATCCTAGGTAAGTGGGAGGCAGAGATCAGGAGGCTCATGGTTTGAGGCCAGTTGAGGCAAAAAGTTCTCAAGACTGCATCTCCAAAAGAGCCAAAGCAAAATGGACTAGAGGTGTGGCTCAAGCAGTATCGAGCCTGCTTTGCAAATACGAAGCCCTGAGTTTAACCTCCACTCCTACTTAAAAAAAAAAAAAAAATTTCCCCACCCCCGACTTTAACATAACAGATTTGCTTCAGCTGGATGTTCAAGCTTTTCTTGTTTTTTGTTTTTTTTTTTATACTGGGGTTTGCACTCAAAGTCTCACACTTTTGAGGCATGTACTCTACCACTTGAGCCACTCCACTACAGCCCTTTGTTGTAATGTGTTTTTTTTTTTTTTTTGAGATAGTGTCTCAGAGTACTATTTACCTAGCCCATGATTCTATTGATCTCTGCCTCCTATGTAGCTAGGATTACAGGTGTGAGTCACCCAGCTCAAGCATCTTTAAGCTCAAGACTGTTAATCCTGAGTTTGGCCTTTAGTGTTTCTTTTTATTGTTTTCCCCTTCTTCTGCCAGGGATTGAACCCAGGGCCTCGCACACATTAAGCACACATTCTACCACTGGACCTAGACTCCCCAAGCCTTGGGTCTCTTCCCCACAAGAGATTAAGATTTTCTCTGCCCCTGCCCCCCTTTACTGTAACGAATATATCCTAATAAAAATTTTTTTATAATAAAGAAAAAAGACTTTCTCTGGCAGCTACCAAGGGGCCTTCTGTTGTTCAGACTGAATTTTCAGTAAGTTTGTTAACTAACCTCAACTTTTCATTATCCCTTTCTAGGGGTTGCTATGGATTGAATTGTTCCCTCCACTCAAATTCATATGGTGAAGTCCTAACCCCGCATGCGATCTCTATCTGTTCTCTTCCCCTCCTTTTCCCTTCTACCCCACCCTCCCCTTTCCTCTTCCTCTTCCCCTTTCTTCCCTTCCTTTCTTGTCTTCCTGAATGCAGACCAAGAGGTCATATGATCATACAGCAAGACTGTGACCATCTACAAGACCCTAGAAGAGGCCTCAGAATGAAATCTATCTTGTAAGTACCTTGATCTTGACCTCCTACTCTCCAGAACTGAGAAATAATTTTCTACTGCTTAAGCCACCTATTCTATGGTATTTTGTGATAGCAGCCTGAGCAAACTAAGGCAAATCAATACAATTAACAAGTTAATTCCATTATATTCGAATGAATTGCTCTCCCTAGTTTCCATGATTGACCAATGGAACTTCTGTGAATAGTCCCCTCCAACAGAGCATTCTTCCAAGCCACCATTGGTGAAGGGTTGTTTTGTTTTATTTTTCCTTTGAGACAGGGCCTCCCTATGTAGTGTAGGCTGGCCTCCAACTTGAGATCCTCCTGCCCTCGCTTTCCAAGTGTTGGGATTACGGATGCAACCACACCTGAGTAAAGTTTTAACTAGGCCACATAATGCCTGTGGCAGGAACTATGCCAACCCCACCTGCAGCCAGGGATGGAGGCCTCACTGTCACGGACATAACAAGTAATCAGTCTCAAAGCTCTTACTGCCACCTTCTTGTACCACACTTACTGCTAACTGTGCTGATTTGGGCCATCCAGGAAGTAGACATTGGAGTTAGAAGGGCCAACAACAGTCAACAGGGTGAGTTTGTGAAGCAGGACTTGGACTGGGAAAACCAAACCATAATGCATACGTGAAACCTGTGAAGGGAAAGAAGGGGAAAGCAGGTGTGAGCAGGTAGAACTCTGGACTGAGATGTGGATCTGGGAAATCTCCCAAAGCCCAGGGTGAGTTGTAAGGTGAGAATGACCTATTAGAGAAGTCCCATGTAGGCAGACCTGGCCAGGCTCCCATCATGCTTGGTCATGACTAGGGGTTGCTTGGGAAAAGCGTGGCCTTGGGAGGCAGACTCTGCAAGGCTGCAGTTGGAGGATTTCAGCTACTACACTGCTCACAGCTCACCAGCAACCTTTAATGAAAGTGTGACGGGAGAGGAGTCTAAGGAGACCCTGGTCTAAAAGATCTCAGATCCTTGCATTTCTCAAACCAAGAAGTTGAAGACACACAGATTGCAAAGCAGTAGTAGAGTTTTATTGAAAGGAAAAGGAAAGTGCAGGCACTGCAAAAGAGCGAGCACTGGGATCTGGCCAGATAGTAGAGAAGGAGGGATCTCTGCTCAAAAGGGAAAGTTAAAGATTGTAAGGGCAAACAGTGGGAAGAACCTGGGAGGTCTGCAGGAAGGGTTAGGATGATTGACAGGTTTGATTGACAAGGTCTTGTTAAATAACATGGAGCATTCTGTATTTATGCTGATCCACAGATTTTTAACTGCATCTATGAGATGTGACAAGTATTCATAAGGTCTTAAGTAGAGGGCTTTACCTGAAAGGTCAGACTGAGAACAGATTTTCCCTTACCAAGCATGCACCATTTTCCTGTCTAAACTGCTCCACCATTAGAGCCATTCCACCAGCCCTTTTCTGTATCCAGTATTTTCAAAATAGGGTCTCCTGATCTCTACCTTTTGAGTAGCTAGGATTACAGGTGTGAGCCACCAATGCCCAGTTGCTCTATTTTTGCAGGGTCTTGATTTTTGCCCAGGCTGGACTTAATTTGTATTTCCTGCAGAAGTTGGGATGACAGGTGTATGCCACCACCCATACCCTGCTTTTTCTGTTGCGATGCAGTTTTGCAGTTTCTGCTGGGTTGGCCTGGAACAGCCATCCTCTGATCTCTACCTCCTGAGTAACTGGGATTAAAATTGTGGGTTGCTGAAAGCAGCTCTTGAGTGCTGGGCTCCTCTCAACTAGTGGAAAGTAATAGGACCAAACATTCTCAATCTCAATCTCCACCTAACTCACACGGACCTACATCATCTGACCCATGGATTGTATCCCCAATTATTATGTGCCCCTTGGCTCACTCAACCTGCCATACAGTGTGCCATCTTCACCTAGCTTCTGTCCAGGGGCCTGTGCACTTTTGACCTTTGTTCTTTCCTAAAACCCAAAGTTTACAACTTGCAAGGTGTACTGACACTTGGAACTTTTTGCAAACAATTCATTTCTGTAATAATCACTAGCTGCCACGTACCCACAACACTTTTCATTCTGTTCACTATTTTTTTCCCTTATGACACACACCTTTTGATGATCTATACCTTATCTGCATCCTTCTTGGCAACAACTTAATGTCTGCATTCAATCATAGTGTCAGGCTTACCTTTATGATCACATTGCTCTTCAGATGTATTTAGTTGAAAACATTTTATTCTTGATGTATGAATATACTCAAGACAAGCAATTTGCCTCAGATAAGGTAAAGATATGAGAAACACCTATTTAAAAAGCACAAGCAATGAGTAATGACCAGTGATTTATTTAAAAACAATTTTCTCAAACCCTCTGGGACTGGAAGGATAGTGTGTTCTGCTGTAACATTTCACTCACATGGTGGTCTGGACATTTGTTCAAACCAGCTCACACCAGAATGTTTCCTTCAAAAAGCAAGGATCAAAAATACAAGCATAGACAAGTTCACTCAACACACATTTATTAAAGGCCCGAATGCTGGGTACTGTGAGCTATGTGATGGGAACTCAAACACAGTGGCAATGCTGTACTTATCACCAGAGGGGTAAGGACAGATGACAGATAGGAAGTGAGCAGGGAAGGGATATGGATGATCTTTTAATCACATCTGCACTTTTTAACTACATGTGAACACAACATTCTGGTAGCAAAGCTGATGCTGTTCTATGTACATGGAAGAACATTACCAAAGTACAATGTAGCCTTGGCTTACTACTATCCATGGAACAAGGATCATGGATGGCCAAAGAGCAGCCTAGGAAGCCTAGGGCCAGGCAGTGAAAAGCTATAATGGCAAGGGGACTGGAGAGAAGTTTCAGATATGTTTTAAATTATAGACTCAGCAGGATTTGACCAAAGAAAAAAAAGTGGGAGAGGACTACTTAAGTGTCAGATTGTTTGGATAGCCAGGTTGGATAGGAATGTCATTAAATTATGACAGGAAAAAATACACTCTTATTGGGGGTGAGAGCAGAGATTCATTTTTTCATGCTGAGCTGAACAAATGTATGCAGGATACAGGTGTCCATATTCGGTTCTTGCCTGGTATGTGTTCACTAGCACTGGGCCTTTGAAGGCGAGGTACACAAACAAGAAGAATTTTCTTAGTTTTTTATTATTTCCACACCCCAGTGAACTAGAAAAGGGTACACAATTACTCCCTCCTGTATAGTTTGCATTAATTAGGCAAATATAGTTCAAAATCACATAAGCAATTAAAAGATAACAGTGACTTTCAACAACACATGTAAAACTGTAGCCCAGAGCCACAGTAATAGTAATTCAAGTACAAAACTCCTTAGCTGTGACACTTGACCTTTCAATTCAGCTCATATTTAATTTTGTTATGCTACCTTAGTATGAAAAGTACTAAGGAATAGGGAAGGACTTTATCATAACCACTTTGCAGCATCTTAAACTAGTAAAGTTGTATCTACTGTGGGAGGTAGAAATTCCTTTAAGGATTACAATCAAGGGAGAAGGCCAACAAAGTACAAAGGAAGCTACTACATCTATCCAACCATCTACTAATCTAGCTCTTTAGGGGTCCAGAAACAACTTGTTGAGATAGCTTTATGGTATTATGGCTGCCCAAAAGTGGGCTAAGGCGCTTCTGGGATAAGCAGATCCCCTATGGAAAAGAAAACTTACTATCAGCAGAGCAGATTTAATTTCTTCTTGTGTGGAGTAACAAATGCAATAATTATTCCTTCTTCTGCTTTCTTTCTCTCTTCTTGTAGCTTCAAGAGTCATTCATTTAAATAGATTAGTTCATCTGTTTGTATACTCAGAAAAGCATCCAGAAGTTCTTTACAGTATGTTCTTATTAATTGTACAATTCCAAGTTCAGAAACAATCAGATTCATGGTAACTCTAAGTGTGTCCAGGTCTCAATTTGTGTATTTTCTGTAAAATCCAAGTCTTTAAAAAGGATTGATTGTGGTACTGGGAGTTGAACCCAAGGTCTCACACAGCTAGACAACTGCTCTACCATTGTGCTACACTGCTAGTCATTTTTTTTCCCCCCTTGGTGGCACTAGAGTTTGAACTCAGGGCTTCGAGCTTGCAAAGAATTCTACTACTGCTTGAGTCATACCTCCAGTCCATTTTTGCTCTGGTTACTTTGGAGATGGGGGAGGGTCTTGTGAAGTTATTTGCCCAGGCTGATCTCGAATTCCCAAGTAGCTAGAATCACAGTCACTGGTGCCTAGCCTTCATCCTTTCTAAATCTTACTTTGAGATATAGTCTCTGCAAATTGCCCGGGCTGACCTGGAACTGGCCATCTCCTGTCTCAGCCTCCTGAGTGGCTGGAATTACAGATATGTACCACAATGCTCACCTAGACCTTAATTAAAGCACAAAGAGCACTCAAATTAACTAGCTCTACTAATATGTAGAGATGATCTGTTAAATAAGTAAGCAGCTCTAGTAACTATCTTCATCCTATTGTATTCATTTTGGAAATGGACATATTTGTTTCGGTAATCCTTTAAAGAGATCAGGCTTCTTTAAGGAACAAATACTACACAAAGTTTTATAGTATAAAAATACAAGGAAGTCTAGTATTTATCCAATTTAGTATTCAAGTATACAGGAAAAAAATCAAATGACAACTGCTTTATTATTAAAAGTTACTGAATTCCATAAAGCACACAAAGTAACCTATATTCAACTAACAAAACTTTGATACATGTATTTAAAAATATATAACAGAGATTTGTCTTAACATTTATATACTATTTAAAAAGTAGTTATTTTACATATTTTTGCAATTTGAATTTATAAAATATATACATCCACCCTATTCAAATCCTCAAGCATGACCTTCCATTCCCACTAATAAAATGAACATTCTGTATTTCTGAATATCAAAAGGAAAATGGTACCAACTAAGATGAACAAATTCATTTTGACCTGAACATGCACTTAATTCTTGGCTACTATATAATTAACCCAGCAATCTGTCCAAATAATTATTTTACCTCTACCTGACAATCAACTTGCACTTACATACACAATCTGGGTTAATTAAGAAGAGATTTGCATTTTTCACGGTATCTCATAAAAACTACAAAGTTCCTTAATAGTCCTATTTCAGTCTTTAAGAGACAGGTAAACTTATTCAATCTTTCCATGTAGCAGGAAACATGTTATACAAAATAAAAAGTTAAAGGCTAGTAAGAATTTTGATTGTATTGTCTTTGAGAAAACAATCTTTCCTGAAATGCAGGCTGTGGCATTTCATAGCAAGAACACAGCAAAAACTTTCCCAGGCAACTCTTCGTTCAGTGCGTACAATCACAACTAGTGAGGTATTGTATTTAGACTAGTTTCTATTCAGGCTTTACTTTTACATATTCAAAACAGTTTCAGATATTATCAATAGAACTCTTTTCTTAAAAAAAATCATATAATCATTCTGGAGACCTGTCACCAAATAAAAGTTTAATACTATATTTGAGAATTAAAATTACAATTAATACCTCACTTACCAGGATCACAGAGCAGTAACTTCAACTTTCAGGACACAGAGCTAAATATGAAGTATGTGTTTAGATAATGATGTATCTAATCCTGTCTTTAAATTAATGCACAATTTATGTTGAGAAAGTAAAAGTCTCCCACAAATTACTGCATCTCAAAATGGCTTCAAAATTTAAATGGAAAAATAATTTATCTGAACAATACATAGGCTTTGGGAGAGGCCCTACCCAAAAAGTAAATAAAATTATTTCAATATTAGTATTGAAGAACTCAATTACGACTATGAGCTCATTTAAGTAAATTACTCAACAAATTCAGTCATCCACTGATGAAATGACATTAGGCACCAGTATCTCCATTTATTTTGTTTGTAGGGAGAAGAATATTTCTTAATTAAAAAATTTCTGATATAATTTCAATAATCTTCCTTTTTTTAGGTTCCCTAACCTTAAAATAACTTAGAAGTCAGAAAAGGAAACTGCTGAAGACTGAATCACTGAACGTCTTTGAGAAGAGATAGCAAGTAAAAAAGAAAAATAAAAGAGGGATTGAAAAATTTGAGAAAGGACTACTAAGAAAACTGCAACCAAGTGATGTACACTAGAAGATCCCTGCATAGACATCAACCATGCAAAGGCATTAGAAGCATTAGCACAACACAGAATGTACTATAGCTGACTTTCAGAATCAATCTTCAGCAAGACAGGTTAAACGTCAGGTTATTTTCTGAAAACCAATTTACATACATACACAATGATACATAATTATAAACTTTAAGCTTCTGGCTATGTACTAAAAAATTAATAAAATGAGATCAAGAAATATAAGCAGTAACCATAAAAGCTTACAACTAGTGACACTGAGATTTTTATTAAAAAATTTCTTTGACCACACAGTACCTCTTCTCTTCTTTTTAGGAAGTTTTAACAAGTTTTAAATATCTCAATTCTCCAAAACAATAAGCTTTTTAAAAAAGACTTGATTACCAGAAACAACATGTAGTTAAATACCATTTTCATATCACTACTCATTTCTATTTTTTGTCAATTCACCTTTGATGCAGTCTGGTAACAATTAAGCAGTCATTAGATACCTGTTTTACAAGTTAGTATCTACCACAGGTATCTAAAGAGATATATATATATATTATATATATATCTACTATGCATATATATGCATACATCTGAAATTCAGAAGGAAAAAAGTAACAAACTAGCTACTTCATAACAAATACTTATATGCCTACTCAAAACAACAACGATTAAGATCTTTCTCCAGTTGAACTACTGACTATATAGAAGCTATTTCCAGCACTTTCTTTGGGGGATTAAAAATGTTGTATTTCCCTCCTGACTAAAAGGAGGAATTACATATTACAAGCAAGTTCTTTAGAAGTAAATATTAATTCCTTAAGAGAACAGCCACAAAATGTATTTTTTACAATTTCCCTTAAACTGAAAACAATCTTTCTTTAAATTTATGGCATCAATCCTCATGTGAGAAAACTTACTGAAGGGCACCAAGTTCATGATCTAAGCATGCATAAATAAGAAACTGAATGTATCACAGTCTCAACAAAATTTGGCAAACAAGAAGAATGACCTAAAATAAATAAATAAATAAATAAGAAAGAAAGAAGACGTATCTTCTAAGTATGAAAGTATAATTCTGTAGGTCTAGTGCCCCATGGAGGGAAAGCAGGGAAGAAGAAGCATACTTTTATACAAATTCCTTGGTATTCTGGTTATCTTTCAGCAACACATTACAGCGAAAATTCTTTTTCATATTACAAAGCCACTACTTGCCTTCAGGAGGGCAATGACTGAGATAAATGTGATTTTTAATAATGTAGCTTACATATAAAATAATTACATCTAAGTGCAAAACGGTTTGCAATGACTCCTAAAGCCAAGGTAGTAATATTAATTCATTATGAATTTTTATTGGTTGGTGATACCATATTTTAGGATATTTTATCTTATTTTCTTCTTTTTGAACCATAAAATGCATCAGAATTATTTGGTTTTCTTTTCTTTTCTTCCACTTCATTTTATTTCATGGTGTACATATATATATATATATATATATAAAGAGAAAGAGAGGTATCTTAAAACACATATAGAAAACTCAACTGAGGCTATATGTGACCTATTAATCTACACTATAGCACTGTTAATTTTTTGACCTGGTATATTAATTCCTTTGGTGAATAAATGCCACAGGTCATTTCTTTATAAAATGATTTTAGTAACAGGATCAGCAATATGAGAGTGATTTCCCCTATACCCCCTCACCCAGGAAAAAAGATCAAGTTAATCAGTAGTTTAGAGCAGTTATGTAAAAACAAAATAAAATACATAATTTATAGCTGTAATTTTCATTTTAAAAGCAGTCAAAAATTAAGAATAATTCAAAGGTTTTCTATCCAGGTTAAATAGGCCAACTAATAATATTGACAGTGATCACTGTAAGAACACACGACAGAGCAGCGTCTGTCATTTTTAAAGTGGTAATTGCTAATTAGCAGTATAAACAGTGTCCACAATTTGGTGGCTGGCCATAGTTATAATTTTTTTCAAGTTATTTCTACAGCAGACATATTTTTGAAGTCTACCCACCCCTGAGTTAAGCAATTAATTATAGAGTGTAAAATTATATGCCCTTAATTAACAACATGTACAAAGCTATAAAATGTAATCTACACAGAGATTAAAAACAATTTTTAAAATATTTTTACCAATTACTGATTAGATGATTTTACTGGGGTACATATTTCAGGCCTTTAGCCAATTGGCTTTTATCTTTAAGCTCAAATTGATTAATATATTCACTGAAGGCTATTTCAAAAAGAGTGCAACAATAAGGCATTAGTAAAAATAACATTGTAGTAGAAACAGATTTTGCATATGTGAAAAGGTAATTTATAAAATACTTCAATTGCTTTTTAAAAAGAGAACCTAGTTGCAGTATCATTAACTTACATAGTACTGAGAATGGGACCGTTCAACAATTTTTTTTTAATATAGAAAAACTTTATATAGCTGTAAGCAAATTCTTTTCAACAAGAAAATAAAACAAAACAAATCCCTATGGGAAAACTGCAAGATTGTGTGAGACAAATAAGCAAACATACCATTTTATAGTGTACTTTTGCCAAAATCTTAAAATAAAAATGTCCACACTCTTTGTTAAAACATTAAGCCTCTGTCAAAAATGTATTTCTTATTTTAGGGTACAGGATTAAAGGACAAGATGATACTTACAAGTAAAGAAAATTTACAAGAAAAAAAACTTGACATAAGTTTTTCAATTAAAGTACTATAACATTCAAACTTGACTTAAAATGTAACAAAAGAAACAAGACTGCAAACAAAAATGTTTATGGATTTTCCCAAACATAAATAAAAGAAATAGTGTTTAGGCAGTAGGGCTCATGCTGATGGCTAGCAGGAAGTAACAAGAGTGTAATCTACTTGGAAAAAATCTTTAATGTACAAATAACAGGCCCAAATGATGAACTGCAGCAATTCAATAATCACTGCCATTTTTCTTACTTCCAAACTAAAAGCCTTCATCAAACCATTCATACCCTATATTATTCATATCTTTACTTCAGAGATTGAGGAACTATATACAACAAATGAATTTATTTTCACCATAGGGATAACATATTGTACCTCTCTGCCAATGTTACTTGAAAACCTTCCATGTCAAAACAATTTGACAGCAGATATAAACAATTAAATAAATACGCAATGATCTTTCATTATAGTCCTTTAAAGACGCATGTTAATTCATGCTGTTAACCTTAGGATCACAGTGCATAGAATCCAAATATAAACAGTTGGTGTGACTTTCAAAGTTATGTTGGATCCCTCACTTTATCTTAAATCCTACTATAACCGTTAAATTCATTTCATAGGCCCTATCATGCATTAATCATGGAGTGGCAGGAATTAATGAAAAGTTTTCCTGTTACAACGTCCATTGCCGGCAATGAACGTCCCAAAACCACCAAGGAAATCATTGTTATTGCACAATACATGAGGACCTGGAACTTTTCCGAAAGCTTAAAAAAATAAAAATAAAAAATGGAATTATATTTGACATTTCCTGACACCTGCATTAATACTGTATGACTAATAAAAGCATGTCAGTTGCCTGGACTGAACCAGCGATCAACATGCGCCCAGAATGCACACGAGTAAAAATGCAGTAAAAGGAAGTAGTCTTCATTGCCTATAGGTCACTTCCAGTCAAAGGTTAAAGTTCAAAGACTGAATGATCAAAGTGCTCATTTTCTCAGTAGGACTATCTTCTGCTAGGAGGATGATAACAGTGGCATCAACAAGTATCATCTTTAAGAAAAGGAGAAAAAAGATAATTAAAAAGTCAAGCATGCATAAGTCAAATCTACAAGTTAATCTAATAGGGTAATTTAGATATAATTTCAAGTAGCAAGAATATGACTGAAGTGTCTGGCTTGCTTCCCCCAACCCTTGCAAATAAAAAGTTCGATTACATAGTGATAAACAGAACAAGTTTTATCTTTCAAGGAAGTGATAATTCACATAAACCTTAAAATGATGTGTTATTATTGTATCAGTTTTATTTAAAACAATAAAAATTGATACAGTATGGGAGCACATATTGAGGACATTTCAATCTTAAGAGAACGCTTTCATAAGCAAAAACTTAAAATTTTAATGAGACAGGAAGTAGACTCCTGACCAACGCAGCCATGCTATTTAACGTAAAATAGTAAGCTATGTCTTTAGATTATGAGGTAACTCTCCTTAAACAACAAGATATAACTTCTAAATCAATAGGTAGTCTAGGTTTTCAGCAAATATAGATACGTATGTAAAGGTCAGTTAAAAACCCCACAGAATTAATTTGTAATACCTCCTGGTAGCCTGATTACAATGTAGGTTAACAGACAACTTTTGGAGTTCATGACTTATTTTACAAAATTTATTTCATAAAACATATCTGAAACATTTTTTTATTTCAATTTTTAAATTTTTTGGGCAGTACTAGATGTTGAATTGAGGGCCTAGAGCTTGCTAGGCAGGTGCTCTACCTCTTGAGCAATGCCACCAGCTGAAGCATTTATTTTGAAGATTAGTTCTTCAGAAAGCAGCTTTAGAAACAAGACTGGTGGCAACTGCCAAGAGTTAGACAAAAACTTTCAAAGAGAAAATTCACAATACTGGCCAAGACATTTTACAAACTATTCCATGTAAGAACTGACATATTGTTAATGAAATTCCCATTTACAAGGACTAAATGAGAAGCAAAACCCAGTAAAGTTCAATGGCTGTGTTGGGGAAATTAATGGAGTATTCCAAGATCCTGTAATGAAAAGGGTAAGCTACAGGGTGATTTTAAAAATAAATCAAGGGCTGGGGATATAACTCAGTGGTAGTGTTGTCCTAGTATGTGAAAGACTCTGGGTTCATATTCCAGCACACCTCCCCCTCCAAAATGTTATCTAAGGCTAGCTCTGGGTTCAACCTTCAGATTCAAAAATAATTATGTAAGGTGTCATATGCCTGAAATCCCAGTTCTTGGGAAGCTGAGGCAGGGGGATCTCAGGTGAGAGACCAGACTGGACTACATAGCCAAAGTTTCTCTCAAAAAACAAAAACAAAGCTGGGCACCAATGGCTCATGCCTGTAATCCTAGCTACTCAGGAGACAGAGATGAGGAAGATCATGATTTAAGACTACATCTCAGGAAAAGAAAACAAAAACAAAAATATCACAACAAAGGACAAGCAGAGTGGTTCAAGTGGTAGAGCACCTAGTAAGTGCAAGGCCCTGAGTTCAAACGCCATGTCACAAAAATAAATAAATAAATAAATAAATAAATAAATAAATAAATAAATAAGGGCTAAGTCTGTAGCTCAGTGGTACAGCACTTGCCTAGCATAAGCAAGGCTCTGGGTTTGATCCTCACAAGTATCAATCAAGTTGTATCTAATTAATCAGAATCCTTTTAATAAAGAATATATTTACAAAGAAAACAAGTGGCTACTTTATATCCTGTAAGTTTCACATGTAAGTATTTGTTTTTTGGTCTTTTAAAATTAGTAATGCATGATAATTGGAGGCCCATGCAAAGGAACATAGTAATATGTTTTTATGTAGATATGAAGTGGGATGCTAACAGCAAGACAGACAAAATATTTGAAATTTTGTCTTTCAAGAGTATGGTTTTCTTTTCATGAATCAATTCATGAAAGACTTCAGAATAGACAGAATTATAAAAGAATGGTATTGAGCAGGAAGCAGAGGTACACAGTTAACAGAGTGAAAGTTTGGATTCAGGAAACTTATAAGTGGTTTTGTAACTCTAAAAGGTAGAACAAATAAAACAATTCCCAATCTAGGTAAATCTATGGACAGAAGCTATAGGGCAGGAAGAAAAAAGAGTTGATATTATTAACGTGAGATAATTTTATGATCCCATTGCCCTAAAAAAAAAAATCTTTGTAATTCTATAGGTATATTCTAGCTGGACAGAGCTAGAAAGTAGTCTATGGTTTTTATTTTTTTTCCTCAAACTCATTAGTTTTTTCTTATGTAAAATTTTATTAGCATATTATAGTTGTATGGGGAGGGGGATGCATTGTGACATTTACATAAATGCTTACAATATATCTTAATTAGACTCACCCCTTCCATCTTTCTCCTTTATCCCCGTCCTCCTCACAAACTCAACAGTTTTGCTAGATATGGTGTCTGAACACTATGCCAATTTCCTGTAAGCCTCAGTTTCTGAAGTGAATACTCAATAGCAGCCTTAAACTACAGTTTGTCACTAATCATTGTTCAAGTTTCTGAAACTTTTTTTTTTTTTTGGTGGTACTAGGGTGGGCAGGTACTCCACCACTTGAGCCACTCTGCCAGCCATGTCTTGTGCTGGTTATTTTCAAGATAGGGTCTTACAATTTGCCTAGGGTGGCCTTGAACTGCTATCCTCCTGGTCTCAGCCTCCTGAGTAACTAGTATTACAGGTGTGAGCCCCTGGCACCTGGCAATACAGCTCATTTTTATACTTTAATAAGTCCTTGTGTGCTAAAGAACCTCAAAAGAAATCAATATGAGATATGATGCAATGATAGTAACTGTAAGCAGCAGGGACTGGCCTAATTTTTAAGGGATTTTAAATGATTATGTGGAAGATCACAAATTTAAGCTGAGTGTCATCCCTGTCTCCCCTCTCCCCACAAGAGCTTAAACCCTGCTATTTGGCAGTCCAACTTTGGGTGTCAGCTGAGACCTCCTCCTAGGTCATCTCCCAGGAGATGAAATGAATTTCAGGCTTGTTATTTTTGTGCCTCCATCCTGCCTCCAGGAAGCCCCCTTCCGAGTACACATATTATCACTATCTAAGACCAAACTCCTCTGCCCTCTCTGCTTATAGCTGACATACCTGTGACTCACCCTGACTAATGTATGTTGGTTAGTACCAAGGGCACAACTGTGGAGCTTGACACTTGAGACATACAATTCCACCTGGTTTCCCAAAACTGAAATGCTAAGTGTTTCAGTGAATTTATTAAATTCCAAGCAAGGGGCTGAGAACTCTACCAGTGGAAGCGTGCTTGCCTAGAATGTGCTAGAATTTAATCTCTGCATCCTGGGTTCAATCCCCAGCACTGCAAAAAAAACCAAAAGAGTAAGTCTTTACTCAAATCTGTGATTTTTTTTTTTTAAGGGGGAAGGCTCTGCTGAAGATTAAACCCAGAGCCTTGTTTGTAGTAAGCATGTCCTACCATTGAGCTACATCCAGAGCCCTGAATCTTTCCAATTAGTTTTGTAGATCACATATGGAAATTGGTCTGTCCTTAACAATCCTTTGAGAATTAAATGACAGGACAAAATAACAAGAGTGTGCTGGGCAAGGTGGCATGTACCTATAGTCCCAGCTGCTCCAGAGGCTGAAGAGGAAAGATCATTTGAGCCCAGTTCACTAAACGGCCTGGGAAACATAGCAAGACTCCATCTCAAAGGTAATAATAGCAATAATGATAAAAAGAAGTAATGAGCATCCATTCTTGGTAACTGGGTACTAAAGGGAGAACATGATCACAAAAGCTAAGCAGGAAAAAGATAAGCTGACACCTGAAAAGTTCTAGCAAACAAAGCTGACAGGTTATGCACTTAAGAGTGAGTGGAAGGCTGGGGGTGTGGGGGAATGGAATGATTCAGGCATTCAGGAATAGAAAACATTAGGAGATAAGAATGGCCATTGTAAGTTAATGAACCAAAGCTATTGTAAACAGATTTATCTGTAAATGAAAAAAATTTTTTTATCTGTGCCTGAGATTAGCAACTGGATTAAGATAGTCATGATTCAGGTGAATTAGAACCCAATTCCTTTTAAAAAATTCCTTTTAAAAAATGACTAATTTATAATGGAAAAAAAAAGGTAATGAATACCTTTCATTTGTTGACTGAGAATATTAATTCCTATACAAACACCAGACTATTTTGTATTATGAAAGAAGTTCATTTAGTATGAAAAAGCCTCTCTCTCTGGGTTCTTTATTTGGGGCGGGGAAGGGTACTTCTTGGAGATTACCTGTCTACAAATAAACAAACAAACAAAAGACTGGAGGTCAGGCATAGTGGTAACTGTCTATAATCCCAGCTCCTCAAGAGATGGGAGATTGGGAAGACTGGTTTGAGGCCAGCTTGGGGAAAAAGTGAGACTTCATCTCAACCAATAAGCTGGCTGTGGTGACAGCTCTGCCAGAGCCATAGGTAGGAGGATGGCAGTCCCAAGGCTGGCCCTGAGCAAAAATATGAGACCCTATTACAAAAATAACTAAAGCAAAAATGTACTGGGGATGTGCCTCAAGTAGCAGACTGTCTAGCAAGCACAAGACCCTGACTTCAAATTTGGTACCAGCAAAACAAAACAAAGAAACAAAAACAAAACCCTCTGGGCTGGTAGTGTAGTTTAGTGGTAGAGTGCCTGCCTAGCATGTACAAGGCCCTGGGTTCTATTCCAAGCACCACAAACAAACAAAGAGTAAAACTAAAACTCTCTTTGTATTTTTAGTTGTGAAAGATAGATTTTTCCATTAACAGGTAAAAATTTGCACGTCCAGGAAAAACAACTTCTACTATGAATTACACATTATTTCACAGTATGAACTATATGTTATTTTCAGGGATTAATTCTTATATTTCTGTTTTCACCTTTTCCCATTTTATTTTGAAAAGCAAGGGACTGGAGGTGTGACTCAAGCAGTGGAACACCTGCCTAGCAAGTTTGAGACTCTGAGTTCAAACCCCAATACCAAACAAAAAAAAAAAAAAAAAGAGAAGAAACATAGATAAAGGCTATCTTGTCAATACTTTTAACAACTTAACAGTTGGCTTTATTTTTGAAACATCACTACTGGACATTAACGAAAAGAAAAATAAGAATGGTACCCTCTAGCAACTGGGTGAGAAAAGAGACAGTTACACTTTGTATGTATGTATGTATGTATGTATGTATTTATTTATTTATTTACTGGGTGGAACTAGAGGAGGGGTCATTGAACAAAGGGCTTCATGCTTACAAAGCAGGCACTCCACCACTTCAGGACATTTTGCTCTGGTTATTTTGGAGATGGGGTCTTGAGAACTCTGGCTGGCCTCAACCTTGACTCTGCCGATCTCAGCGCCCTAAGTAGCTAGGATTATAAGTGTGAGCCACCGGCACCTGGCCTCCACGAGATTTTTATTACACAAACTTATAATTTGTAAAGAATATAGTTTAAAAAAAATTACTATAGGGCTGATGGAGTGACTTAAGTGGTAGAGCACCTGCCTAGCAAGTGTGAGGTCCTGAATTCAAAAGCCAGTACTACAAAAAAACAAACAAAACGATATATTTTGAGTTCTTAAATTTTTGCCATCTTTTTTTCTTGTAGGTGTTACGTATTTCTCATCACTATTATCCCAAGTTCTCATATTTCTATGGCTCTTACAAATGGCATTCTTTCTCTGCACTTTCTAATTAACTGCTGGCACAATGCCATCGTATTGACTGTTTTAATTTTTTATTTCAACACTTGGAGAGCTCAAGTTTAAATTCACAATTTAATGAGGCTATAGAAGGTCTCACACTGGATAGAAAGGACATATTCCTGTCAGTTTTGCCAATTCTAATTTCTTATTTGGTTAACCAAAACCCAACTCCCCCGCCCCCACCCCCCCCCCCCCACACACATGCACAAGTGTGCATACCAAGCACCTGGACAATAAAGCCAATATTTCTATATATGCAAAATCACAGGGGAGGTCTGGAGGTGGGCTCAAGTGGTAGAGCGCCTGCCTAGCAAGTGGTTCAAGGCTCTGAGGTCAAATCCCAGTACTGAAAACAATAAGAACAACAAAACCATATAAAATCACAGGGGATAAATTTCTATTCACTCAAAAAGTACAATGATTACAATGAGAGGACTGGGTGAGTGGCTTAGTAGTAAAAGGCCCTGCTAGCATGCGTGAGGCCCTAGGTGTGATCCCTAGCACCACATAAAAAGTACATTGAGGAATAGAAAATTTTTGTTTTAAATTTAAAGTATCTTTTTTGGGGAAGCACCAAGATTAGTTTAGAAATGATGTTAGTAGCTCTGATTTTACAGTCACTATTACCCTTATAAGGAAAACAGGAATTTTTTTTTTTGCAGTGCTGAGGCTTGAACTCAGGGCCTATACCTTAAACCACTCTACCAGCCCTTTTTTATGATGGTTTTTTTTTTGAGATAGGGTCACCTGAACTATTTGCCTGGTCTGGCTTTGAACCATGATCCTCCTAAATAGCTAGGATTACAGGTGTGAGCCACCAGCACCTGGTGGAAAATAGGAATTTAAAATTATCACGGATACCTTATTCATGAGCAAAGGGAGGTAGCACATGTCTATAAACCTAGCTAATCAGGAGGCAAAGACGGGTGAATTGAGAGTTCAAGGCTAGCCTAGGAAAAATTAGTGAGAGCCTTTCTCAAAAATAAAACAAAATAAAAAACAACCAAAGAGCTGGGGGCACATCAAAGTGGTATGCTTGAAGCCCTGGGTTTGATTTACCATAAGGGGGTTGGGGGGAGAAAGAGTACTTTGTTCATGAAACTAAAAGTAGCAGAACTTCAAATTTTTTGAAGGATATCCATTAGAATCAGAGAAGCTACATTTAGTGAGGCACTAAATGTAATTTTCCCTAACTATGAATAGTATCATAACTAAATGAGTACACAAGGCATCAAAACTTCTACCACAAATGTCAGAATGTTAAAGTAGTGTTAGGTTTTAATTGTATTATACCTACAACATATAGTCTACTTTATCCATTCAATATCTTGCAAAGTTAAGGGCTGACAGAGTGGCTCAAGTGGTGGAGCGCCTGCCTAGCAAGCATAAGGCCCTGAGTTCAAACCACAGTACTGCCAAAGGGGAAAAAAAAAAAAAAACAGCAAAGCAAAATTTTAAAGAATGTTCTCCATACTATGAAAATATAACATTTTATCTTCTCTTTCTTTTCCCAAGTCTTAGCAAACAGATATATAACCTTTGACAAAGTACTAAAAAAATTATTGTTCCAAATTAAAACTTCTTACCATGATACCACCATTTTGTTTTCTTTGGATTCTTGTTACACGTTCGCACATAAAAAGAATTATCTGGTGGACGTCTCTGAAATAAACAAACAAAAAAGAGTTTAAGAGCTAGGGGTATGATAAGTGGTATAGCATCTGCCTAGCAAGCAGTACCATAAACAAAAAAAAAAAAAAACGTTAAAATAGGTACATTCTAAAATAGAATAAGCCTAACAGGAATATAGAAGCCCCTGTAAGTACAAACTGCTCTGCCCTACACATAAAAGTTTAAAAGGGATGTGTGTGTATGCACACCCACATGCAGGGAACAAGTGACAGAAGAAAATACAGAAGCAATAAATTAAGACTTGTTTCCAAAGCCCTTAAACAAAAACTCAGTTAGAGCTTTAAGATGCAGCTCAGAAAACTCCACAGCTTAGAGGAAAGTGAAGTTAAAAAGTGATATTAATATATGTACCTTATTTTGATCAAAGATGTACTTCTTCTATACATTTTAATATTCCTGACTGAGGATATGTGTCTTTTAGTAAATGGCGTGTCAGTTTAATTGCCAGTTTTTTCTTTCTTTTTCTTAATTTTTTTTGTAGCAGTGGGGTTTTCTTTGTTATATGGTATATAAAAACTGCATATTAATGACTCTTAGTTGGAAACTGTGTTGTTGGGTTTTCTGTTTTTTGGTGGGACTGGGGTTTGAACTCAGGGCTTCACACTTGTAAAGCAAGGCACTCTATCGCTTGACCCACACCTGTACTTCATTTTGCTCTAGTTACTCTGGAGATGGGGGGGGGGGTGTCTCATAAATTATTCATCCCAGCTGGCCTTCCAAGATGGGAGTTTGATCCTCCCAATCTCAGCTTCCCAAGTAGTCAGGATTGCAGGCATGAGCCACTGGTGCCCAGCTTTTCCAAAAAACCTCTTAGGGTCCTAACATTTCAAGGAAACTGCTTGGCGAAACAGTGGCCTAGGGTGTTTCAGATTCTAAATAATCTATCACTTAAAAATGAACTATTATCTTAAATGTTCTCTAAATTCTAATTTAGTAAAAATGGCAGTTTAAATTGTAGAAGAGAGAAAATAACCACTAAACACACAGGTGCATACGTATATTTTAAAAGTATCCTAAATTTAACTCATCTGATTTTTTTATTCTGGTCTGTTTTTTCCTCACCTCCATTAAGACACAGAATCTGTGGATTGGTAAAGAGAACAGGAGGAAAAGCCCTGAAAACTCTATTGGTTAATGGTCTTTCTTCAACCTACTTATTAGGATAGGAAGCTTCTTGTTCCTGGGAAATCCCCTGGAAAAGGTGATAGGATGGAGACTGGCACACAGGGGAAGGGGGAAGCTAGGATGTTTGTTTCTGGGTTTTCCACTATAAAATCTAGAAACAAGAATTTCTTGTACACTTTTGCCCTGTGCATACTCATGGAAGTACAATTTATATAATTTAAGAACAGGTACACAAATGTGCTGTTAAAAAATATTAAGTCTAGTCTGACTTCTAGCCCATTTAACATTTAAAACTCTATTTGGAATGAAAGATACCAAAATAACTTTCAACTTATTATTAAACATGACATTCCCTGTAATTTAAAAACAAAAGGCATGAGTCCTTCAAATGAACACAGGTGTAAGATGAAACTGTTCACCTGCCTACATTGAAAGAAGAGGATTACCTGGAAAATTCTACAAAGTCCTACCTTCTCTTTGCAGCTGGAAAGCATGCTGATAATGCTAAGACAAACCGATTGGACTGAGAGCGCAGGGGACCAGTCTTCTGTGAGAATGGATAAACAGATATGACCATTGCTATACACATGAGGGTGAACAGGAATATTTTCACCAGTAAACATGACCTAGGAAAGAATAAAATTCGGTAACACTAATATTTTTTAGTATCAAAAACTAAATATTCTCTACATAAAACAAGTACTGATTTTTAAAAGACAAAATAAAACAAACCAAAATCAGTTTCAGGGATAAGATAAAGTGCTTATTCCATTAACAGTAATGGTTTCACTATATGAATAACATATAGTAGGGTTAAAAACCTTGATTATTTTGTTTCTGCGATTTTCCATAAATTCCTTTAAATTTTCTAAATTACTACGCATCTTTTCACTAGTGAAAGGAAACTATATTTCTAAGAATTTTTCAAATTCTACTCATTCTGCATATAAAAAACAAACACTCTTAAAATTCCAAACAAAACTATTCAATTTTGAGACAATATAGATTACAAATGCTAGGAACACCCATATCACTTACAACAATGCTAGCACCAAAGGTGTTACACACAAAAGGAAATGACTGCCGTATATTCTACCTTCTCTATATCTACTATTTCATTCCTTTGCCCTAATAATTCAACAAATACCCTAATACTTATATGTCTTAAGCTTATCTACCTAAGCTCCAAAGAGGCAGAAGAAAAATATTAACGTGTCCTGAGGTTATCTGTATGCAGATTTGAACTACAATGTAGTTTAAAGAAAGCAGAAGCCTTATATTTAAGAATGTTATATAAAACCCACCAAACACTGTTTGAAAAAGAGGGGAAGGCAAATGGGAATATAATGGAGGAGGTGAACTTGTTCATCACAATGAAACTCCCTCATGGTATTAGTGTTTGCTGATTTAAAAAAAAAATGAGATTATTAAAGAAAAAACGAATGATTATATATATATGCAACTAATTTATCTATCTATCTATCTATCTATCTATCTATCTATTTATTTATTTAGCTAGCTTGCTAGCTAGCTAGCTAGCAAGCAGTACTGGGGATAGAACCCAAAGGCGAGTGCCAGAGAAATTATTTAAATTGATTTAACCCACAAATCTTTAAAGTGAATTTTATAATGTAGCACTATATTTATTCTGCAGTTTAACAGTAATTCCTAATTCCTTATCTCACCATAAAAAGAAAAACACATCACTTGAAGATCTGATTAAAAACATGAAATCAAGCTGGGCAAAATGAGCTCAACTGTTATTACGAGCTGCTCAGAAGGCTGAGGTAGTAGGTTCAATTGTGCACAGGAGTCTGAGGCCAGCCTGGGGCAATAATGAGACCTTGTCTCAAAAGAAACAATAAAAATAAGAAAATAAATTGAAATAATTACTTTCAGACTCTTACTCAGTTGGCATGATGAAATTTGTAAAAAGTTTACCAGTAAACCAAGTGTTTACAAAACAGACTTATGGCGTCTGAGGAATCCTAACTTAAATAATGACAGAAACTAATATATTTATTGCTCTAGGCATATCCTTTTTCTCCTTATATTGCAGAACGAATGTAATGAAATAAGGATGGCCAGAGTGAGGTATTTCAAAGTTTAATGTGGAGTATGTATGGGAAACTACCACTGCTAAGGTTTTGTAAAAACTTTAAACATCTAGCTACAAATCTGACTTTACTACAATTATATATTTACATTTCAACAAAACAGTTTTTTGTTTTTGTTTTTTTTTACAATTTGTGGACTATTCTAACATTTTAAATATACTGACATATGGAACTCACTTTTTTTGGCTGTAATGTAAGACAACAAAAGGAATGTTTTTCAAAAGGATGACTTTAATACTTGCATTTATTTTTGCTTTTTGGATGATACTGGGGTTTGAACTCAGGACCTCATGCTGGCTAAGCAGGTGGTGTACCACTTGAGTCCCTCCACCAGTCTAATACTTGCATATTTTTTTCACCTTTAAATTCTGGCTATCTACTCCATTTCTTTCTTTCTTTTTTTTAAAGCTAAGGAAAAAGAGTGGAGGAGGGGGTGAATTCAAGTATAATATATTTGATATATTGTAAGAACTTTTCTTTTATAAGTGTCCCAATATACCCCTCCCAGAATAAAAGAAAAAAAAAAGCTAAAAGAAAAGCTGAAGGACAAAAGTAAAGTCTCAAATGAAGAAAAATCAAGTTATTTTCCTTTCAGCTCACAGAAGAGACTGTGAAAGGACTATGCCTTTGAATGGCTGTGTTCTAAGAATGCCATTAATCTCAGTCATATCTATCAGTGCCAGTGCCCTAAGAAAGTCCTGCTCTAAGCAACCTTGCAGCTTTTCTTGAATCTGTCCACAATTGTTTAATGAAACTTTCTATGTATGAACTATAGTTTACTACACCATATGCATTTGCACAATGGTTGTACATATCTAGAGTAGAAGTTTACAATTATGGATCTATGAAGGAGTATTCATTTTGGCATAAAAAGCCATTTGACCAGTAAGGTCAAATTCAGAACATAACAAATACCTGGAGAATTTTGATTCCCTGGCCACAATTATTATCTAAAGGATACTCTTCCTCCCCATAATGTCTCTTTATCAAGAAATCAAGTGGAAAACAATGTATACACATGTAAGTAAATGATAAAAGAAAGAGAAAAAAAAAGTGGAAAAGTACTCTGAAAGTGCCAAAAAATAAAGAACCTCTAAGTTACCTTCTTTGGCAAAAATAAATCAGTGCATATCAGAAACCACCAAGGCAAATACAAAGATTATCACAATAAGCTTTATTTACCAATTCACAGAGCAGAAAGAGAACAGTATTATTCTTGGAGAAAGACTATTACATAAACTAACTCATGGAGTCTGAGAGCTAAGAAGAATGTATGAAACAAAGGAAATCTGAAAAGAAAAGAAAAAGGACAAATGGCAACAGAACACACCTACAACAGAAGCAGTAGACATCCAAGCAGAAGAGAACCAGAGATTGCTCAAGTGGTAGAGCTCCTGTCTAGAAAGCATGAAGCCCTGAGTTCAAACCACAGTACCATCAAAAAAAAAAAAAAAGAAAGAGCTAGAAATCAAGATCACAGAAACCGTACTGAACTCAAGAGTCTGAAATAAAATTAAATCCAATCTCAATCATCCTTAAATAAAAAAGCAGAGGCTTTTTAACATGCCTCATGAAAGGCAAATGTAACCAGTCTGAAACTTGCAGCAACCAAAACCAGAGGGATTTAATTATTTGAACATATTATAGCAACCCTTAGGGCCTAACCTGCCAGATACAGACTTTTAGAAGTTTGTCTAAACATGGAAAGGCTGAGTTTACATGCCAGAGATGAATTCCCGAAACAAAGAAAAAAATTTCAACAGTTTATTCATGTAAACACTGCTAAGCACAGTTTCCACAGACAATTTTAATGTAAACCTTGTTACTCTTGTTCTCTGCATATTACGGGCAGAGAACAAGAACATATTACGGGCAAAGCTGAATTTCATTAAGCACATACTGGTGTTATCCGTCCTCATTTGTTTAACATTCAGTATAAGTCAAAGAAGAAAATGGGACACTTCAGTTTTGTTTTTCTTTTAATGTGGCCAAGTAAGTACTGAAAATTCAAGACAGTGTTTCCAGAGTTAAAAAAGAAAAAAATTTGGAGTCTCATGTAGCTGATAAAACTACGTAGGAATGATACAACTATACAACTGAATATAAGTGATTTACAACATAGTTCAATGGACTGGAACTTTGGTAATTTTAGGTTCAATTTAGTTACACAGTTAAGCTGTTATTAATAACTGTAATATAGGCATTTCCTACTGCATAAATCCTCCGAGTAAAATGGAGTCACACTTTTGAACAGGAAGCTGTTTGTTGGAATTGTAGAAAAGAATCATACATCTAATGTACATGAATCACATGTGAAGTTCTGAGACTGCATCAGAAGTCACCAGGTCTCTAACTTTCCAAACATCTCCCTATCAATGTTTCATTTTCAATAGCAGGTGAGCACTGACAGAAGTATGCCCAGGGTAATTTTGGAAGTAGATATGCAAATTCTACATCCAACCTAAAATTTTAAACAAGCTAACCACTGGGCAACTTGTGGCTACTGTGAATTTAGTGTCTACTAAAGTCTAAACTGAAAGACACCACAGTGGTAAGAACACTGAATATGAATGACCACTAATTTTTTCCTCCCTGAACAGGGTCTCCATTCTGTTGTCAAGGTTGGTCTCAAACTTCTGGGCTCAAGTGATCCTCCTGCCTCAGCCTCAAGTAGCTGGAATTACAGGCATGCCTGGCTCACCATTTAAATTCAATAATATTCTAAGAATAATTCAACTTGATAGTTGCCAATATTTACAATGACTGAATAAAAATGATCAACAACTGATTGAAATTGAATACTGTAACTGCATTATTCTTTATGTCTATACATTTTACTAAAAACCTTACCATTATTTGCTAAGAACAAAACAGGAGATTAACTTTCTAATATGCAATTCAGGAAGGCTGGGAAGTGTGGCTCCTGCTTAGCAAGTGCAAGGCCCTCAGTTCAAACCAAAAAAGTAAAATAAAAAAATTCAAGTATTTCCAAACATCAAGCCCAATAATGAAAGACCTTGCAATATAGATATCTTATTATAAAGAAAACATATTACTGTGGTTCAGATTAGTGTCCTGGAGGTAGATAGAAAGTCACTTAATATGGTGTCAAGCTAGGTCAATAGTACATACAAAACAAGCAAGACAAAGCAGGCTACATGGGGGCTAGGGGGAATAACTCAGTGGTAGTTTGCCCACAGATATGTGGGTTCCCATCCTGAGCACTGGGGAAGGTGGAGTGTAGGGGAGTGGAGCAAACAGGATGGGGACCAGTTGAGACCACCAAGAACCAAGCTAGTTATGAAAGCCCAACTATAATACAGATAACCAAGGTTTCTCTCTAAGGACACTAAGTGGCAATGTTAGCCAGGCCAGCCAATGGCTCATGCCTGTAATCCTAGGTACTTGGAAGGCAGAGATTGGGAAGACC